AGGAATATCACTTCCCTAACAGAAATTATGTCTGGAAAAAAACAAACTCTAAATTATATTACATGGTACTACTTTCCATGAACTTTTATAGATATAAACAGATTGCACTACCGGTTTGATATTAAAGCAAATTAACCCTCAAAAACATTTGGTTGTAACCGCATGGCACTATAACATTTATTGTGTTGAATGTCTTATTTTTCACCTGAATTCTGAGACTTGCATAAGTCATAGGCATAAGTGGAAATACCCATAGGTGACAGCTATCAAAATGTCTAAAAAAAAGGTGAAAATGTAAAATATAAGATAGTCAATCAAATGTTTTCAAAATGCCAAACACTGGCAATAATTATTTCATAAAATTGAATAATTGGCAGGCTATTATGAATTTATTTTAAGGTAAAATACAAAATGTTGCAAAACATTTTGACAATGTAGAATAACAAAAAAATATATAATTAAGAGACAATCCTGCATGGAAAGAAAACTACTATGACCATTTTTAGTGGCTCTGCTTTCCTATAAAATGTTGGGTAAACAAAAACCACGTGACCAAATAAGTTAATCAATTTACAAATCACTGTAGAATTATAAGCACCTGTATATAAGGTAACTTTATTTTATATTTGATATCTACTAATATTAAGAAAAATAGATTAACCAAATATTCTGATCTATTTTGTGATTTTACTATGTAAGATGGAGTTTGAGTATACATACGGTTTTTCTAAACATTATAGAAACTTGAGGTGTTTCTGGCAATATAATGATTTTTGTTCTAATTTTTGAGCATATAGCTAACTAAACTTAGAATTGGGCGGACATTCCTTAGCATCCTGAAGGAATTGCATTTCTTTCTGAAAGAAATACACACAGAGATTCATTGTACTATATGAATTTAATTAGCTGCAGGTCCAAAATACACATGTCAGTATTTTATTCTAAAAGCTTCTCTGGGATGAAAAACAATAGAAATTGATTGTAAACATCACTTGTTGTGAATAAAATCACAATTACTTTCAACTATGTTTTAACTACCTATTATAGTTTTGCTTACAGGACATTTTCAGGACTCGCTCAGATTTTACAATGATTTTTTTCTACAGTCGTAAAACTTTTAACAAAGCTTTGACTACTCTAATCTCTTTAAAATACCAATGATGAAGTCCCCTGTTCTGAGTTTTTACATTGGCAAAGAAAAAAAAGTCTTCCATGAGTGAAAACGCTCCTTATATCTCATTACCCATAAGTCCTCAGGTAGTTGATGTACTGAGAGTGTAGAGGCATGGGGTGGTCCATGACCTTTAAGTCATGTTACTTAAAAAAGAATTAATATGTTTTTATACCAACATAATGGATAGGATAAAACTTCAAACTATTAAAAAAGATACAGAGTGAAAAATAAGTTTTCCCTCCACCCTCTGTCAGTTTCCTACTCAGGAGCTATTACTGTTATCGGTTTCCTTGTGAATCTTAGTACACAACCATTTTTTGAAGTCAGTTTTTCTCTGCACGTGTAAGCATCTAAGCACACACACACACACACACACACACACACACATAGACACACATTCTTAAAAAGACACGAATGATGATATTATTTACTTTGATTTGTACTTTCTCTTTCACTAAACAATATAGGTTGAAGATATTTCTGTGCTAGTTCATAAAAGCAGGTCTACCTCTTTTTAGTATCCCTATAAGATACTACTGCACGGTTTTACCATATTTTTGCTTTTCCATTATTCTTTGTATGGACATTTAGGTTGTTTTCACTCTTTTGCTATGACAAGTAATCATGTAATAAATATCGTTTAAATTTAGTATATGTGTGTATATCTGCATGATAAATTCCTAGAAGAAAATTTTACGTCAAAATGCACAATAGGTGCATTTTAGGAGAGCCTAATTGTCCTCCTGAGAGGTTGCTCCAATTTACACTCTCACCATGAGAACCTAATGAGAGTTATAAACTCTGTCCCCAGACTAAATAGATGTACATGTATTTATATGTATACTTATATATACACACATACGCATATATACAATATTGTATACATTAATATACATATGTGCGTATATGTTTGTGTGCATATCTATATACACACACATGCATATGCTCTGTCCCCAGACTAAATAGATGTACATGTATTTATATGTATACTTATATATACACACATATGCATATATACAATATTGTATACATTAATATACATATGTGCGTATATGTTTGTGTGCATATCTATATACACACACATGCATATGCTCACACACATGATATTGTTGATGCTTTAGTTAGACCCCCAAACTCCATCCATGGATTAAAGGTTAAGGACCTCATTTGTGGATTTGAAGACTCATATACTTGGGACCTCGCCCCAGTTCTCTTCTAAAAATAGGGTCCACAGGCCATGGGTGAACCTGGCTACATTTCATATCATGATTCCCTCAAATTTAAATCTCCTAATTTAAGTCATAAAACTAATGAGATTTTTTCAACACCTTTGGCATTTCCAGACATGTAGGAAAATCAAAAATTGAATAAGATGTGGTCATCCTAAAAAGATGGTTGAGGAGTGCAAATCTCATTTCCTCAATTAGATCTAGGGTCCTGTGGGCTTGGGCTCTGGTTTTTGTTTCATTTAAAAAACCCAGCAAGGAACTTCTGGTACAGTCAAGGCCTAAGGCGTGGAAGGCAACTTCCCAGGGTATACTTGTTATTTGCCTGAGCTTTGTCTGTCTCTTCCGACCCCAGGCCCCATCACGTTGTTTTGCTCAGTCACTTGCAGAGTTTTGTTTCTCAGAAGAGGCGTGTATGATAGGCACAGAGACTACTGCAGAATTTCTCCTTCTGCCCATTTCACAAAGTGGGAAGGAGGGAGCAATGGTATGTCAAGGCCTTAATGACCTGCCTTTAAAACCTTCCCCTGTCGCTTGCTGGTGGTAAAACCCTAGTAAAATCAACATGCACTGTCAGATTTAGTTTCCTGATCTCTCAAATAGGGATATCATCTCACTAGGTTGCAGACGTGTAATGAGATGATTCATTCAACACAACCAGCCAGCTCAGAAGCACAGGATACACAGAAAGCATCTAATAAATGTTCATTCCTGTCCTTAACAAGTACGAATTGTTGACCCTGACAGGCTTAACACTCTGTAATACCCATGACAATCCTGCAGGGCAGGCAGCTGCCACTAGATTGAGTTTATAGTTGAGGAAACTGAGGTCCAGAGAAGTTAAGAAATTATACCTAATCACAAAACAGGTATTCCTAACCATAGCAAAAGTAAGGTCTGTCTGCCTTTGAAACAGATGCTCCTATTTCACCAGTGTTTCTCAAACAGATAGAGTCTTTGGACATTTCCTGCAAGTTCCTGAGGTTCTATTCCAATATTTTCTTTTCAATTTCAGTCATATATACGAATTCAGTTATAAAAGCAGACTCTTTTGCAGAGGTAATTATAATTAGAAGATACTTTAGAAGGGTAATATTTTGTTACTTAACTCACTGTCTCCTAAACTGGGGTTGACAGACTTATCTCCTCAGCCATCCATAAAAAACGTTTTACATTTAAAAAGGACTATGAGTCATACAACACTCAAATTTAAGAAACCTCGAACTGGACCATATTGCCTCTTCCTTCTCTTTTCCTCCGTCCCTGCATTCTCTCCATCATGAGCGACTGTCAAAACATGACCCCCCATAAGAACATTTGCATTTCTTACTCATAATTGAAACACACCTGGATCAAGTGGTTGAAGAGACCAGCCTTTAAAAATATCATGTATTTTTGAATTCACAGGTCTGTTTTTACCAGACAGGTTTTTCACATCAGCTTTTTTATCCTCTGAGCCTGGTACTTTCATGCAGTAATCCAGGAAACCATTTGATCTCATTATCTCGGTATAGCCCTTCTCACAACCACAGACTCCGCCCTATAGTATAAAAAATATTTTTATAGTTACACAGTGAATTGTGCAGATGAATAAAAAACAATTTAACGTTGGAATCTCTTAATATTTTTACTATATGTCATGTCAATTTGGGGTTTTCAGCAACTGACTTACCAATGAGATGAAAATCAAACACATAGTTCATCTTTTTGAATTTCAAAGTCAGTCCTTAAATAAACCGTCAGGCTTTTCTAATGTGTTTACAATTCTGACACCTTCCAAAAATGAAATCACAATTCTTTGTGAATAGACTGCATTAACTATGTCCTTTCCTCTCTTATACAAATGTATATGGCATTTAATCAAATTATCTTCAACTCTCCCTGCAATTGTTTCAGACTCCTACCCACTTGCTCCAACCTGTGCTTCCTCCCAAGAAGCAAAGAAACAGGTGTCATGAACATATCTTCTTTGCACCATGTACCCCAGCTGCTGAATGCCTCTAACTTTCTACCATTGACCACTAACTGGTTCAAACTACCTCTCTGCTCGTGGGCTCACTTCTGCACTCAAGGAAGGCAGTCCAAGTGGAGGAAAAAAGGGTTCACCAAAGGCACATGTCCAAAGACGGGTGTCATATATCTATCTAAACTATTCCTTCCTGTACCAACTCAAATATCACACCACATCACATCCCTAGCTGGCACTGTGACTCTACGTCCTTTGTAATTGTCTGAATACCTGGTTATTTTCATGTATAATGAATGTCGTCGAGAAGCTAACTATGATGAGGTATGATAGATAAGAATCCCTATCTGTTTCAGAAAGTGAACATGAAAATAACTGCTCTTCCTCCAGCAAACAAGTAGGCAATAGAGAAGAATAGAAAAGAAATAAGCATGAGATTATGAATCTCTATGACTTTGTTTTTATGGCTGTCAACTTAAAACTACTTATCTGGCATTTTCTGAATAGACCCTAGCCTCTCATCACCACTTGTGCCAATTCTGATCCACCAGCCAGCTTTTATTCAGGTCACTAATTGTTTTTTTTTTGTCTTGTTTTGTTTTGTTTTTTAATATATAGTTGGTTTATTTACATTGAACTTACGGACAACAGCACTATAACTCATGCCTGAAGCATGTATTTTCTCTGTAAGGCACATCACAGCCTTCTTGTGCTTAGGAACATCAGGTCACTAATTGTTGACTAAACACATCTTTTTGAGGAGAAATAGATACTAAAAGTTAACAAGACACCTCAATCTTCTAAAAAGGAAAAAGGTCAGAAAAGCATATGTTATAATTGACTGACCACAGTTTAGTACAAGTCATTCATATAATGATATATAAATATGGTATTTTCAGTTGGTTTTAATTGAAGGTATCACACGGTGTTCAATAAAAGATCTAACAAAGACAATTTTATATGCTCAGCTATTAGCGGTCAGAAAAGCATATGTTATAATTGACTGACCACAGTTTAGTACAAGTCATTCATATAATGACATATAAATATGGTATTTTCAGTTGGTTTTAATTGAAGGTATCACACGGTGTTCAATAAGAGATCTAACAAAGACAATTTTATATGCTCAGCTATTAGCATCATCTTTCAAGATGCATCTCTGTTGTTAACCAGAGGAAAAAGTTGAAACCTGTCAGTCGTATATGACAATGGTTCAAGGAAGAAAGTAATTTATGTTTTATGAAAGAAGGAATCCAGAGAGCGGATGGAAAGCTGCAACTTCTATTTTGCAAACATCATTAGCCCAAATGGAGTTGTTCCCAATTTACATCTCCTCCTGCCCTTTTTATTCTATTCACCCCTGCCAGTTTAACCACTGTCTTTTCTACGGTAAAGAATTAACCGGCCTGGAAGCAGAAGGGCAATAAAATAGGACTGAGTGCTTGGACTATTTTTAATCATATCGTTTTTTGGAATGAGCACACTATAAGAAGAAACCTGTTTCTTTGAGAAATGTAGCGTAACTTTTTTTCCCCTTTATTTATGAGCTGCACATTGTGAGTGCCATTAGATTAGGACACATTACATGTTATGCATAATTCCTGAGCAGTGGTAGTAAGGTTTCTGCTTTGAAAAAAAAATACAACACACACAAATACGTACATATATCCAAGCATAGTCACATATTCAGCTTATTTAAAATGAACTAAAAATTTACTCACACTATAGTAATCATAGTATAATAAATTGTACAAAATAACTTTAGTAAATAATGAACAGCATTCATAATACCTTTCAAAATTCTATGAAAGGCTAAGAGTAAAAGAAATAAATCAACTGAGAACACTTATTGGTAAATAGAGCTAACATGAATTAGATATCTGAAAGACAGATTTGGCAACAGACAGATTTATAGAAAAAAAGATTGCTTTCCTTAACACATGGCCCTGGACAGAANAATAAATTGTACAAAATAACTTTAGTAAATAATGAACAGCATTCATAATACCTTTCAAAATACTATGAAAGGCTAAGAGTAAAAGAAATAAATCAACTGAGAACACTTATTGGTAAATAGAGCTAACATGAATTAGATATCTGAAAGACAGATTCTAATAAATTGTACAAAATAACTTTAGTAAATAATGAACAGCATTCATAATACCTTTCAAAATTCTATGAAAGGCTAAGAGTAAAAGAAATAAATCAACTGAGAACACTTATTGGTAAATAGAGCTAACATGAATTAGATATCTGAAAGACAGATTTGGCAACAGACAGATTTATAGAAAAAAAGATTGCTTTCCTTAACACATGGCCCTGGACAGAAATCCTTAATAGCTGTGATCACTCCTGCAAATGCCTCTAGATGGTATCCTGAGCACATGGAACTGCTGCTTGGTCTGTAGCAGACAGGAGAACATCAACTGGGTATGCACAACACAGCAATTAAAATACTTGTAGAAGGCTTCAGCACATGACTCACCTGTGTACAGTAGGAGAAAGGTTTTTTGCAGGCTGGAATGCACTGCCGAATAGCAGCAGGACGTGCCCGAGGGGAGCAGCCTCCTACAAAGGAAATCCCATCATCATTTGCAGATTTGTCTATGATAAACATTTTTAATTGTTTGGTATCTTTTCTTTTTTTTAGTACTGGCCACTTTGTAACATTATGATTGCTATTTTAATAGTTTGCCAAGACTGTGGTCCAGTCCAATTTTATTGATAATTCCAGATGTATTATTTGAAATGGAAGGCTCTTGTAACAGAGGGTGTTTCCTGTAGAGTTTTTATGCCTGTTCATTGGCAATGTGATTCTATCATATGGCTATGCTCGAGGGCAAAATCTATGAGTGCCAGAATCAGTGGAAGACTTGATGAAATCTCAATTTAAGTTCAGGAGCCAAAAACACATCTCAAATACTCATCTCTGTATATATTTCTCCAGCTCCTGAGCACCCCAGCTAGGCACTAGGCTGATTCCAACAAACAAATGCTAAAAGAATGCCACTAATCAAGTCATGGCACCATCAAACACTTTGGTAACTTTTAAAATGTGTATCAACCAGAATCCTCACACACAGTAACATACGATCCCCACACATATTTTTCAGAGCAAATGTATCCGCTTTAGGAGGGGCAATCAGGCATCTGACAGAGTACTTATAGGTGTTCAGTAAATATTTTTGAGTAAATAAATGGGATAGTATGTGTCTGTATAATCACAAAATCATCTGCATGCTAGCTTGCCTTCCTGGATTCAAGGTAGGAAAATAGACGTGGAATAAAGCCTAGAGAAAATTAGACTAAGAAGTCGATTTATAATTCAAGGGCAGTATTTATACTATACTTGTAAAGTATTGGTTGCACGTATATTTTCTAGCCTTTGCATTACTGTAATTGTCAACCAATTGCATTGTATGAGTTTGTTGCTAGTAAAAAGCTTTGAGCTTAAGGCGGTGCAGGGAATACTCACACCTACATTTTCTCTAGGAATGAAGCAGCTAAATTCTCACTATTACTTGAAAAATGAAACAAACAATTCATGCAGAATTTTTTAAAAAATACACCCACAACCCAGAATTAGCACCTAGGTATGAAATTGATAATTTGAATATTAGTGGCAGTAACTATACATTTCTGTTACCACCACTTGTGTTTGGTGGGGTAGAGGGTTTTACTCCTTAAATAAGTGATCTCCAAAGTGGAATACTCTAGGGAGAGGAAATCTCTTGGGAACTGGGAAGAAAGTATTGGAATTTACATAAATTATAAAACTTAAAAAAAGTTTTAAGAATAAAATTAAGCTCTAATAACATCTAGCCGATGATACTGGTGACCTGAGCTTTTACGTTGTACTCTGTACACAAGGAACTCCATGCAGAAAATCTGATAGTATAACCCTCACCAGTGTGTTAACTCTCAGCATATTGCAGAGTGTGATGCTTTCTGTGTTTCTGATTAGTTAGACTTACACTATATTTAGTTTTAATAACAACTTACTAAATGGACAAGTAGCTTAAAATAAACTATTGCATGAATAAACTATGGATGTTTATCCATACCAGTAACATACAATACCAATAATGCAAGAACAGGTAAACAAGAAAAAGGAGTTGAGAACTTCTCTATTCCTATAGACATTTCTCCCAGTCCTTGCACACACTCTTTGTCAGCTGCTAAGTAAAAACAATGACAATTTAATTTGCTCTGACAAGAAAAAAAAAAAAACTTAGAAAATATTGAGAAGACCATTTGTACAATCAAATTGTATTCATTGTCATGAATGAGAAAACTTTCCTTCAGTCTATGTTTAGATGTTAAATAATCATCATAATTAGCAAAATATTCAAAAGTTAAGCTTCCATTGCATGAATACAGAATCTATATTCTATAGAAAAAAAGATTTTTGCATCATTAACACATATAACATTTTAATTTTTAAATTTTATCTTTATCAACCTTTTAAATTTCATTTTCTGAGTATGTTTCATAATATGATATATCAGCTTAGCAGTGCAGAAATGCGTGTTGAGTTATATCTTCAAAAACTTTTTACCATGAAGATATATGATTTAAAATTTCAGAAACCATTATTTTAAACTAGCATCTGTCCTTTTCGATCTTTGCCTCAGATCATGATATTTCAGGACATTTTATTGTGTTTCAGCGTATTTCTTTAAGTTGTTTGATATATTATAGGTCTTCAAATAGAATTGTTTGCTTTCTAAGATGAACAGTTCTAATGAAAATTTGCCAGAAATACAATCCAAGCCACCTGCCCAGTCATCCTTCACTTGTAATTTGTGAGCTAATT